ACTGTGGCCCTTCACAATTTATTGACACAGAATCCTGCTAAAAATCGTCCACCAGGCTATTTAAATTAAATGAGCGCAGCAAATCAGGTTCGTTGAAATCGTCACAACATCACTCACCATAGGAATTTCGCTCGTAGGACCAGTTTCTATCACTACAGGTGCAGCAGAATTAACTGAAATACCTCTCTCGAATAAAATTGTGTGATTTAGGAGTATAGCAATTACAAAAACCACGTGTTTCTCTACAAAAATAACTTAGTTGCCTGTATCGGATCTGGTTTTTTTGATTAGTGGTAATTTGGTGCAAATGCATTGTTCCAGGTACCGCTACTAAATTATCTGGAACAAGTCTTCTGAAATTCTCAATGTCTTATTCAGGTATAAAAACATTTTACTAATGTACCGCTCTTTTGTAAAATGTTGTACGCATCATTAGCATTCGTTATGTCTTCTCCATATGAGACTCTTTTGTCTAATGTTCTCTTTATTGAGCCACCTATACCATCGGCTATGCTTTTTCCATGTCCCGCTTCTGAAAAGGACCATGTCGAGGATACATGTAACTTAGCCGTAAACAAAGTCAGCAAATAAAAGTTTTTTTTTGCCTATACTGATTACTAGGCCCATCTGAAAAAAGTGTATTTTGTTGAACTGTGTTACCATATTTTTGGAATGCCTTAAAACTGGCATTAGATATGCCCAAATTGCATGCGGTTCGACAACGTACAGACACCGTAGCAAATGACTGTGAACTGTCTTTTGAAAATATCATGCCAATGTGTAACGTAATTGAGTTTTTGAAGCTCCAAAATGAGTGCATTGAATTTCTTGTCCATATTTGCCCTCGTAATTTTCAGAGAAATCACATATAATAACGATCTCATCGTCTTTCAAGTTATTTATACAACTTCTGTACTGTCTTTGCTGTTCTTTCCAATTATAGTAATGGGTTTTAAAAGGTAGCATTTCTTTTTCTAATTTTGTTAGTAGCTCATGGATACTTCCTTTCATCTATTGTTTGACTGTCTTTTTTGTGGTTAACTGTTTTCCAGCTTTCTGATAAGTGTGGCTGATTCTGGTCCATCTGCTCCATGCTATCTCTTCTGATTTGATGTTGTCGCAATGTTGAATAGATATAGTTTTGCACTGCTCGTATTTATTATACATACATGCATAAGATTTGGTGTCACATGTAGAAGCGGCTAAGAGCTCTTCAAGGTTCTTGTGTGACACCTTTGTGTTTAAGAGCTATGAACATGATATGTTGCTATGTTTAATACAAAGGCATGTTACCCTTCTTTGTGCAGTTGGAGATAGTACATAATATGGTCTGTATCTACAAAATGTCGAGAAGCTAATTTTCCCTCCTTTGTTTTTATAAACTCGATATAGATTTTGCAAAGTATCTACTAAGTAACGGATTTGTGTCTTCTTTTTTCCTTTTGTCCTTGTTTCTCGTTTTCCTGCGGTCATTCCACTTATATGTCTCGATTAAAAAACAATCTAAATATTCTAGAATTTCTTTTCTGACACTTCTATCATTCTTCTGTCTTATTCTAATGGGATATTTAAGGCCGAGAATTTCTGCTTCAGATTTCCTGCTCAATTTCTTTGGCTGTGTTTGATAGCTACTTTAATTTTCTGTTTTTCTTGTAGCCGATTAACATTTTTATATAAGTTTTTAACTGTATGTTCCATAAATTCCTGTCTTGCTTTTACTATATCATTTTCAGTTTGCAACTGTTTGATCGTGTTTTTCGAGTACTGCTTTTGACGACTCAATGTCTTTCGTAGTATGTTAATAGTCTTTTTATACTGGTCTACTGCTTCTAAAGTTTTTTTTGTGTACCGTCATTAATATCTTGTACCTAACTATCACAGTATTAGCAGTATTTCTGGAACTATTAGGTGTTGATGAAGTCTTTGAAGTTGATGATGTTGAAGGCTCGTCAATATTATGGTTTGGTTTATTTTCAGATTTTTCTCTGTGACTGTTTTTTCTTTTGTTCTCTCCACTTCCTTCTTTGCTCTTCTTCTGTAAGATCTTTAATTTTTTTTATTATAATATGATTTCATACGGTGAGATTTTTTTCTCTGTGTATTTTTAGTTTTTCTTGATCTTTTTTAATTTTCTCACGGTATCGCTTGGCTCTTTCAGCAGCAGTAAGTGCCATGGTAGTATCTAAAATGAATAACGAGTTGTTGAATTGAGTGTTTCTTGAAGTAAGATGCAAATATGGTTAATAAACGACGATCCTTTGATCGCAGTTCAAAGTGTTTATTCATAATAACTGGTGTAAATATAATATGTATTTAGGATTGATTCCGTCCAGTGGTGCCTCCATTTGAATTATTGATATTTCTTCTTAATTACCACTTTGATTTAAAACGCTCAGATAGTACACTAGATAAATACATAAGCAATTTTTTTCATAAGTTTATAAATTGAAAAACCAAAATATTTATAATATTTAATACCGTTTAATATATAACATAAGATTAAAATGTTTTTCTTTATTGCGAAAAACGGCCACTTAAGTTTTTAACAAAAAATTATTTGAATTCATCGATGTGAAAGCTATTTAGATAGAATTCATTTTTTTATATGTTTAACTGATGAACAGTTCATCAAAAGTTATTATTGTGATTAAAACAGCAAAATGATAATTTAATAATTAAATATCGAAAATTCACATGGAGGTGCCACTGGACGGAATCAGCCTTCTTAAGCTAAAAAAAAGGATCTTACTGAATTTTTTAAATCATTTTTAGTTACCAAGGACTATGATTAATTGAATAACTTGATCAAATACAAATTAAGAAAAAACTTAATAATAGTAACATTACCTGCAAAATATAAAAAAAACTAATATTTTCATCATATAATATAAATATTAATTCAAAGCGATGAAATTAAAAATATATTTTTTGAGGTTGGCGCCAGCTTTGACATTTATAAGGTATTAATTTTTCTTTATAAGTGCTGAAACTACCCTCAAAAACATCACTGTTAAATTTTGTCTGCAATCTTTTAGCTTTTTTAATTCATATTACAGTTTTTAATTCATAGTACAGTGTAAATTTACTTAACCAATTTTGATAAAAACCCTAAAGAATTGCGGCGATGTTATCGTCGTATAACTTTTTTCTATACACTCTCCCGCCGCGATAACTTCGCCGTATGTAACACATGCAGCGAGTGTGTAGAAAAACTTGTCCCGATGAAATTACCGCGGTTCTCTCGCTCGTGGAGACTAGTAGTCTGACTACTACAGACTAGTCTCTAAGTTAAGACACATCAAAGCTAATAAAAAAAGAAGCATCAAAATGCGTTCAGTAATTTTTGCAGTGAGTATAATTATAAGCATTAACATAAATCAGCTCACACGATTTTTTAAATAAAAATATCTGGTAACTAGTAATATGTACCATGTACACTTTGGTGTTCCAGTATCACTTTCCTAGTCCTTAGCGTCACTATTCTGATAACGTGACGCTTTCACACTTTCATTGATGTTAAAACAGATTTCTACATATCTATCAATTATTTGTAAATAATATTTGCATATATTCTCTATTTGTGTTACCACAGGATTCTCATTACAAACATCTATAGAACAGTTAACAACTCTTACCTTGCTAAATCCGAAACGCTAGCGGAAGACTTTTATTTCAAACACCGTGACGCGACCGAACTGATGACCATAGACTAAATATGACAGCTGACATATACCTTGTAAGTGTTGCTAGTTTAGATTAAAAATCTACATTAAGGAAACGTTTCTTGCAAAATGTTGTAAATGCCCGTGACGCCTATGGGAGTTCCGCAATCAAGATTTTGGTGGACAAATGAAAAAACCCAATTTAGTTTATTAATGATTGAAACTATATTATTTAAAAGATGTATTATAAAAGAGTTTAGTATAGTAAATTAGAAAAATACCACAACAGATTTTACAAAAAATAAGGAACATTATTAATATTAGCTTTGATCATGTCAGAACATGATTGTGACATACAGAAAAGACGGGGCACAAAGTTTCAATTAATTCATATTTTTAGTTCTAACGTAAGCTAATAGTAAGTTTTTTTTTCTAACAACATAATAACATTACTTTTATCAAAATAACAAGGATTTCCTATGAAATGATTATTAGTTACTCCAATTTCAATAAAATCAAAAGTAGTTGGACACGTCATTTTTGCAATGAGCAACCCGCCTGAGAATGGCCCAGATATTATAGTCACCACAAGTATTACATTTCTCAACTCAGCACACTTCACTCCGTTGACAACTGCTAAGTTCATTTCGTACCCACTAGCTTCTCGAGCGATATTGTGGAGAATTTTTGAACTGTTATTTACTGCTGCTTACAGATGGACTCATGTTCAATTATTCTACTATTGGAGATTGTCCTCTTTACCTATATTCCATGGGTTGATTCCCTGATTTGATTCACATATCATTTCCCAAATTTTGTAACATTTAATAATTTTTTGCTAAATTTATATATTCGGTATTCGGCAACACCAACTATATTAAGTTCACATTTTATATTTTTTAATGGCCACATTTAATGGAGCGATGACCGATGACAAACGTCAAAAAATTGTCAATAACCATTCTTAGCGAGCGCGGTACCTATTTTTTTTAGAAATAATCTAAGTGGAATAATAAACGCGTGTCTTTGTTATTTCTTGTATGGCATTTTCGTGCTGAATTGGTGGGGACGTTAGTGTTCTTGATGGTTTCGGGTGACGATTCCAATGGTGGTCGTTTATCACGAAAAACTACGAGGTCTCCGAACCGAAAATCGAAAAAGTCAGATGCAGACCTAGCGAAGGGTTCAGCGTTGCGACATGACTCGCAACCTTCTGTCCATAAAAGGAATCTTTACGTCGTCTCTTACCCCATCATAATTTTGTTCAACGTTCTTAGATCTATTTTGTATCAATTGTTTATAATTTTTAAATATTTGTACTCTGCATCACACCGGTTTATGCACAAGCCTCGTAAGAACGGCGAGTGTAACTTGGAGGTAGTGGTAAAAGACGGCGTGATATCGACAGAAATAGCCCAAGAGGATATGTCTCACACACATAATGTGGGTCCTGGAGATCCACTTCTGGCAAAGCAGAAGCATCACCATCGCAAGGCTTTTGAGTATATATCAAAAGCCTTGAAGATTGATGAAGAAAATGAGGGTGAGTTCCAGTTATCATCAAATTAAAGCTTTAAATTTCTATTATTAATGTCTGAAAAATAAGTATATATTTTATTTTTCTTCATTTATTTAACCATTCATTTGAAATAGTAAAAAAATTTAATATATCAATAAATTACGTATAATTTAATACTTTTTATTGCTTAAAAATATTTACGTGTAGTGTGATACAACTTTTTCTAAATTAAAAAAAATATATTTTTACTACAAAATAAATATGCAAAGAACTATATAGAAGTCATATATATTTATAAGTTTCATACATAAATATTTTAGGAAGAGTTCATACATAATGTTCTTAAACATAAAATACATACTATGTATAAATTGCATTGTATGAATTCCTTTAACAGTAAATTTGGATACCAATGTTATTTTTAATGTAAATATCAATGCAAAACACATTATTTCTAAAGTAATTTACTCTCTATGCTTTTATATTAGATGAACCTTGAAATGAATCAAGCTTTAAATGTTAACAAATGCAAATGCATAATGCGTGGAATTAATTATAAAACAAGCAATACAAAACATGTTTTTGTTATATCTATGTAGGTACATAAATAAAAATATATTTAAAAAGTTCTCATTGCTTATAACTTGGGACCAACAAACTATTTTTTTTGTGTAGTTATTTCATTCCTATGGTTATTATAAATAGTAAAGAAAGAATAAAAAGTTAATTGATATAAACATTTAAAAGATAAACTATATATTATGCACAAACAACTATAAGCACCTTGTGATAAACAGAAGCTTAGTGTTTGTTTTGTTTATCTGTTATTTTTTTTCAAATATTTTTCATATTTTACGTAGGGAATAAACTAAAAAATAATTATTGTCACTAGGTAGGAAAATGCTAAGGTTTTATAACATCAAACTGCATAATTGTGTAAATGGTTCATGATAACCTGTAGTTTTGGTTTTACATAGTTTTGTGGTATTAGCTATGCTACTGCTTTATTATGGAATAGGTCTGCTCGACTAGGATAAGACCACACTCACACAGAATATCAGTGTGAAACAGCATAATAATTCTTTTGAGTTTTGTATATTGAGTTTAGAGAACCGAATACCCTTTTTACATGTAACAAGGCATTCCATTTTCATTTCCATTCTTAGTCCTCAGAGATGGCAACGCATCTGCATTTTGATTCTTAACCTCTTGATCCCCTAGCTGCCTCATGAAACCGCGGCCATATTCTGTCAAATCCATAGAGGTCTCATGAGGCCGCACCCACCCACAGCACTTAAAACCCATAAAAACACATATAGAGACTACTTTTCTATGAAGAAATTTGGCATTATAGAATCAATATGAAAGTTTCTATTCTTTAGTGTAATAAAAAGTTAGTTATCCTTTAGATATTTATTTATAATCTATGTTCATTTTGTACTCCATTTTTGTGTAAATGTTATCATGTTGATTTTTGGATTTTTCTAGGGTTTTAGTATAGTGTTTCATTATAAAATTGTAATTAAAGTTTTTGTGTGAATATAATTTATCTTTGTAGGTAAATAATTTTGAGTAATATATATTGAAATAATTGTGATTTTCACGCTGCCGACATTCGTTTGGTATGTTTTTTTTGTTATCAAAATACAATAAAATCTTTTTGTATTGAAGTAAAACCTGACTTTTGTTTAGACCACAGGATAGAGAATTTTGTACAGATTTTATAATGCCAAACTTCTTCTTAGAAAAGTAGTCTCTAAATATAAGTCTTAATGGTTTTAAGTGCTGTGGGTGGGTGCGGTTGCATGTGACTGTTCGGGATTCCGGGTGCATGCGACTGCATGGGATTTTTATTAGGATTGAGGTTTAATTAAGGATAGATAAAGGTATTTAAGGGCCACAGCATCATTTTACTGTGCTCTTTGTTCTTCCCATACTTATACTTATTGTGAATAAATATGTAAATAATAATTTTAAATATGCCTTACACTGACTGAAACTAATTTTTACAGATGTTAATGCATTGAATTCACTATCTTTTATATTTTCCTAATGTCTTGAGTGTTTTTCATTATTGGTTATGGGGAGTTGGAGGACTCCTGAGAAATTATTTTATTTAAGGATTTTCCAACCCCAATGTATATGATTTGTATTCACATAAACATAAGTAATCTGTAATAGTACAAGGGCAGGTCAAAAATTTTAGCAGAATGACAGGGAAGGATCAACTCTAATACATTTATTGGATCTGTCAAATAACTTATTAGTACCGTCTAAAAAAAAGATTTGTCTTGGGCGCCAAAAAAGGGCGAAATTGCCGACTTCACTTCACACGTAGTTCTTTATTCATTTTTGAAAATAACAGTCGCTTGGGGCCAGGTCTGGGCTGTAGGGTGGGTGGCGCAGTTGTTCAAAACTGCACTGGTGAATGCTGCTGTCGCAACATGGCTTGTGTGCACGGGCGCATCGCCGTGCAAAATGGGCACACCTTTTGAAGCTCCTCAATGCTTCTTTTAATTGATCTAGAAAGAAAACCAACGCAAGATACCTCGTACAAAAATAGCATTACTCTAGGAGGTGTGTGCCTATTTTATCCACTACCCCAAAACCCGCCATAGAATCCCCCCCCCCAAAAAAACATTCTCGGAACCCATTTTGCACAGACTTTAGTCACGTCAAGGTGACTAAAGTCATGTAGGATGTTTAAAATGTTTGTTTCTGATACTCCATCTAATGCTGCAAGCTGTTTTTTGTTTAGCTGGGCATCTTCCGATACCAGTTTTTCTGTTATTTCTGGCGTGGTAGCCTCAATCGGCCGTCCAGGTTAGGGGTCGTTTATTATTAAGATTAACTGGTTTACTCATTGATAACTCAAAAGCTAATGAGTAATGACCCGATTAGGCTGAAATTTGATATATATACTAACAATGAGTCACTCAACTAGCGCCTACCTGGATGAGTAAACTCACCCTCGCCAACCCCGCAATTCCGCGAACTTTTTGACCTCCCTTCGTATATGATACATATTCAGGGACTTATGTAAGAATATATTTCTAGGATGTTGCCTTCTAATTTGCCATAAACAAAAACAATTCAAACATAAGTTACGCCTGTATCTTAAAATTAGAGTTATTATTAAATTAATACCAATCCTGTGATAAAAAAATCTATGAAACTAAGTCAGTCGGTTGATATTAAGAAGCCACTTAGTGGTCTAAAATTTTGTTCATCAACTGATCCTGTTATACGTAGTTTATCATTGAATACTGATGCCTGATAAGTGACCCCATTTTCAAATAATCAGACCTTTAAATGTGAAAATGCTATCGCTTTCTTGCTTTTTATTAATGCCGCCATTTATTAGTTAGGTATTTAAAAATATACCTTCGTATATACTATTTCACTTTCCATATAAATCAGTTTTTTTTTTAAATTTGTTGGCAATTAAACACGCTAGGCAAGCTTCATTTACATATTATAGCCTAACTAGTACTAGGTGATATTGAATATTAATGTGTATAGTCGTCTAAGAATTAATAGAGAACAGCTTTCAGTGTAAAATCCGAATGGTAGAAAAACAGATTCATCACATGCTGCATAAATTCATACAGGTCAAAAAGAGCTAGCAATAGAGCTATACAAGAAAGGCATCTATGAATTGGAGAGAGGTATTGCAGTGGACTGCTGGGGCGGCCGCGGAGACGCGTGGCAACGCGCCCAAAGATTACATGATAAGATGAAAACCAACCTAGGCATGGCAAAGGATCGTTTGCATTTTCTTGGTATGAATGGAGTATTTTTTTAAATTGCAAATCATTTATTATTATTATTCTTCACTGCTGAGTAAATTTTGTTTCAGCTATGTGTTCAGCCTCTTTTTCGTTTCATTTGTGAAATTGGCTGTGTGTCCTGTGTGCATGCTGTGCTTTATTTTATTATTTTTAATACTCCTTACATCAAACAGTACAATTATAAACGATTAACATTATTGTGATAAGGTTTAATTGAAGTAACTCATATTGTCTCCAATGTAGCCAACCTTGTCGCCCTCAGTAAGTTGGGCGTAGAGAGTGAGTCCGAGCGAAGCGACAAAAAGCCAACGGAGTCGCCTCTAAAGGCGCGAAGGCCATTAGAGAAGTCGAAGACGACGCTCCTTGCGCATACAGAAAGTAACAGTGGTCAAACGAAGTCACCAAATGAAGGTAGAACATCACTGAGATATGCTTAGCTTCGTTTGACGTAACCTACAGCAAAATTAAACAAAAAAAAAACTCACAAACAATCACCATAATAACTCTTATTATATTAATCGTGAATGTTGAACATTAAATAACAAACAATTTCAATACAATTGGCATGTGTGTTTGATACGTCAATGTTTGCATGTGGGTTCACTGTGCTTGCCACATTTATTTTTGCTTTCTGTGTGTTACTCAACACCTATCATTTGTAACCGAAAGTGTGTCACGGGTCATGCCTAAAGTGTATACATTAATTTGCACCAATCCGTCTTTTAGGGTCTCAATATAATCTGTGCAGTACTTAAAGGTCTTAAAGACATTTACATGTCCTGGATTACGAAATATTTTAACCGTTTATGGTCATGCGTAGTAGTTCCTTTCAACAACGGCAGCCTGTTGATTTTCGAGGGTCGTTAACGTTCGATCATTTCGACACTAACATTACTAAAATTACACTGACCTTTCAATCGATCTTGATTGACTTAACACTTGATATTTTGGGTTTCGTTGTAATAACACAATATCGGAAATGTATTCGATATTGCTTGGTCGATATTGACCATGCACAGTGGCAACCTTCGAATACGGTCGGCTATTAACTGCAAGTAGATATAGAGCTACAAGTATATGTGATATTTTACTAAATTAACTAAGAAGTAAGAATTACACCAAATTAAACTCAAGTTTTGACTGGGCACGGAGGGTTTCTTGAATAAGTATCTGAATCGTTTTAAATGTAAAAATAGTGCAGCCTGTGCTTGTGATCATGCTGTAGATAAAATCAAAACAAAACTTCTAACTAACACAAGAACCTAAATATCGGGTAAGCTTTTAGAAAAAAAAGACAAAAACGTGGGGAGTGTTCCGAGGAATTGTTTGAATTAATTGCACCCCTCAAACTTCATCAACGCACATCGCGACAAAACTTACGTTACCATCCACATCATCTGGATGCTTGGCGGTTCACTGTCGTGCGATTCACTAGGAGTTTTCTTCCTCACATGACTACTTTGTGGAATCGTTTACCACTGGCAATATTTCCGGACTGATACGACTTAGGGACCTTCAAGAAACAAGCTTACTTCATTTTATAAGGCCGGCAACGCACTGCAAACGCACCTGCGATTCCACTGGTGTTGCAGTTGCTCGTGGGCGGCGGTGGGGACACTTGGGGTGAGCCGCATGCTCGTTTGCCCCTCTTCTAAAATATTCATTCAATACTACTGTTTTGTAGGAAAATATGCAAATTATAATATTAAAAGTTAAGAAAATATAAATTAGAAAAAATATAAAAAATGTACCGAAATAAATAGAGTTTCAAAGAAATAATATGTACGATTACGAAGACCTCTGAGATAGACATAAAGGCTGATTCAGTCGCTTCAAGCTGCCGGTGCCCAATGTGTCACTAATGCGATAGTATCGGAAGTAAGCATCCTCAAACTAAAAAAGAGAGAGCTGCGTTAATTTTAAAGTGATCTGACCTTACGAAACCCATGCTCAACTTTTTTATTTATTTTTTTATTAAATAAAAAGTTACCTCCACACTAGGATTTTCTCCTGTATCGTGAAGGCAGTTTGCATGCATATATTTCAGAGATACAAACATTCAGACCCGGAACAATTATTTGTAGGCTATACAAATACTTGTTCCGTGAGAGATTCGAACCCGCGGCTTTAAGCGCTGCAGCGAATTGCTAAGCCAATGCGCGACGGAGGCCGTCAACTTATGCACATGCTTATAGTATGCATTTAAAATCTTTTGCAAATAACAATATGGTTTTAGGTACAATGTGTGCGTCCACCGGTGGACTACAAGAAAAAAGAAAGATGTGTGCGTGAGTGCATGTTAAGAAGCCATACTTCCCCCATGTATTTACTGGTGAACACATAGACAGAATATAATTGAAATTGCTTTAATTACATTCGAATGAAACTGCTTTTTCCTTAATGGACGTGCCTAAAATTGTAGATTTTAAGGAAACTGCGGTCTTTTTTATCGAGCCAATTTTTTATACGTGGTAGAGCCATGCTGCAGTTATATTAGTAGTATAGTTGTAGCACGAATGGGTCGGCTCGACCGGGGAAGGACCACGCTCTCACAGAATACCAGCGTGAAATAGTAGCTTAATGCTGCTGTATTTCGTATGGTGAGTGTAGAGAACCGGAGACCCTTTTTACTGGAAACGAGGCATTCCATCTTAGTCCTCACGGGTGACAACGCATCTGCATTTTGATTCGTAATCGAGGATAGATGCAGATGTCTACGGGCCACAGCAACCACTTACCATCAGGTGGACTGTGTGCTCGTTTGTCACCCTATCCTATAAAAAAAAATGTGTCAATCGTGTATTGGCATAATTCATCATAATTCATTCACTAAGGAAAATCTTTAACTTTTACAATGACTTTTTTATAGGAGACGGGGGCAAACGAGCATACGGTTCACTTGATGGTAACTGATACCACCGCTCATGAACAGCTGCAACACCAGGGGAATTGCAGATGCGCTGCCGGCCTTTTAAAAAGGAGTAGGCTCTTTTCTTGAAGGTCCATACGCCGTATCGGTAGTCGATTAGACAAGGAAGTTGTGCGAGGAAGAAAACGGCATTCATTCAGATGGATGACTGATGGATGATGACAAGACTTAAAAGAAAAGTTAAATTCCGGAGTTTTTAATGACAAAATTTGATTTTCTGCGCACCAATAAAGCGTGAAGAATCTGCTCTTGGCGCCCATTTCACCTTAAAATTAAGTATTTGGCCATATGTGTCGCTGTATCTATTTATCACCAACTGAACTATCTTGTTTGTCTACTTCTGTAACATCTTTAAACGTCTTTGCGCTTGGTTATCGCAGCGCGTTTGAGGAAAAATGCGGAAAATGAGGCTTCTACATATGGCGAATGATCATTAAATATGTAGGTGTCAAATTGACACTGTCAATACACAAAGCATTTTCTTACCATCAAGTAGACTGTGTTTGTATTTGAATTTCCTTATTCGAGTATGCTATACCTGAAAGTTTACAGTTATGTATTTACCTTTACAATTAAAAGTAAATATTTAACAGCATTCATTTGATCAACTGTGATGTTTACATTGAATAAACTATCAATAACTAAACAATGCCATTCTGAGGTTTTCGACCTTGTCTAAGGTAAGGCAGACGATATCGACTCGGTCTCACTAAGAAGCGAACTCCAACTATGAGTCTATGAATGTATAGCCGCGTCATTGTTGACATAGCGTTCTCTTTGTCCTTAGTCCGAGGTATTTCGTTGTTAATGAACAACATAACTCCAATAACAAATGTGTATTATACATAGAAACAATCATACTTTTGGTTAATCCCATCTTTTAGTATCTTTTGTATCATTTGTATAACTCATAAATCCGACCGCTTTTGTTTGCACAGTTTATTGTGTTCCGTTTTATTAAAAACTATGTAGATTTGGTCGATAACTTTTACAGTACAAAAATATTTGTGTTCGGTACAATATGCAATATATCGAATAGTGTTTCGGAGAAATTCTAACAAATAATGGTTTTGAAATTCTCAATTTCTTTTCATTCACGCACAATAAATCTTCCAACGTTGGATGCACATCGTATAGAGATCATTTTACGTTTTCTCAAACTATTTAGTGAACTTTTTTGCGTAGTAAATGTTTCTTATTATAAATACATTGTTACACGGCTTTTTACTTCATTTAATTTGATATGATTAAAAATCAATACGCGTTTGAATTGAAGTTAATTAACCTTTTGAACTCTTAAACTCTTAAAGAAGGTATATTAGTTTAAAACATAATCAATATTTATAAGTGAAAGTACTTATAGTAGCTATGTATGTTCCGATGCTGGGCACAAATCTCCTATCATTTCTGAGAGGGAGAGAGCAATTTCTCCGCCGCTACAGAGCGTGTTGGTCAACTTCAAATTTCTTCGAAATATTTTATTCTTCATGCATGTTTTTATTACATGGAGGTTTCTTCACGATGTTTTCTTTCTTCGCCGTGCACGTTTATCACCAGCCGTTAGAGCCTATTAAAGTCCACTGCTAAATATAGGCCTTGCAAATAGAAACCTATTGATAGGGGGATTACGTACCATTGTTGCCATGCTTGGCAAGTGGGTTGGCTTTCAAGAAGGCGACTTCCTGAAAACAACATCTGATTTATTTCGCACTCGCTGTTTACGACACCATACATTCACAGAATGCCGGCGTAAAATAGCTGCTTAATACTACTGTGTTTCGTATGATGAGTGTAAATATACGGAGGCCCTTTTTTCACTGGAAGCGAGGAATTCCATTTTAGTCCTCAGGGGTGACAACGCATCTGCGTTTTGACAGCACCCACTTACCATCAGATAGACTTTGTGCTAGTTTGTCATCCTTATTCTACAAAAAAAAAACACGTAATTATATTAAGATAGTGGATGTTCTTACACCGCAACTACACATTTTACACCATGCAGTCAGCACTTAATATTTTATATTAATAATTCTGTTGTTATCTGCCGGGTTCTGGCCCCGGTTGTCACAGTTGTGTGAAATTTGCAGCGAGCTCTAAACTTAATAATGATTATTACAATGCTTAGGGTAAGCGTTGTAATAATCATTAATTCAATTGAATTTATTTTACGTTACTACGTTCAATTTAGTTAATGCATGAAGTTTTTAAAATTGATTCGTTACTTTTCATGTTACCTCCCACATACGATTTTATCACATCCTGATATTTTAAGTATAAGATAAGGCTTCAAAATACTTTATGTTGGATCCCATATGTATTTATCTAATAAGGACACTGAATTGGTTTTTATCCGGTACGTTTAACATTCGAGTAAGGGCTGATTTTCCAATCATAACAATATAAAAGTAATAGGCTTACTAGATAGTTAAAGTTACAGCCTTTATACATCCCACTGCTAGGCACAGGCCTTGCCTCATTTCTG